GGTTTCCGTTGCACCTAGGGCATAGCTTTTTTTAGGACCTTCAACTGAAGGTTTGGGAGTGTGTTGGAGACGGGTCTATTAAGGCTCCTCTTCCCTGGCAGGCCCTGAAATCCACATTTTGTTCTAGCAAAATCTCTGCTTGGCTTTTTTCCCCTTTAGCAGCTTATTTTTTTTTGAGACAGAGTCTCGCTCTGTCACCCAGGCTAGAGTGCAGTGGCACGATCTCGGCTCACTGAAACCTCCACCTCCCGGATTCAAGCAATTCTCCTTCCTGCCTCAGCCTCCTGAGTAGCTGGGGTCACAGGTGCACGCCACCACACCCGGCTAATTTTTGTATTTTTAGCAGAAACAGGGTTTCACCATGTTGGTCAGGCTGGTCTCAAACTCCTAACCTCGTGATCCACCCACCTCAGCCTCCCAAAGTGCTGGGATTACAGGCGGGAGCCACTGTGCTGGGCCGAGCAGCTTCTTTCCATGTGGTTTCTCAGTCCCCAGTCACACCTGTGCAGTTTAGGAATTAGCAAATGCCGGGAGGGCAGATTGCAAGCAGAATGTTGAGTTCCCTTTTCTATGGGATCTTGGCCCATAGAAAGTCTGCTTTGATACCATTAATGTCCGGGGTTTATTCCGTATGGGACTGCTGCGGAGTCTAGCTTAAACCTTTCTATGTGGCCCAGTGTGCCTTGCCTGTGAATAAGGAAATGCTCTGAGGCCAGAGGCTGCAGGGAAGCCAGCTGACTTCAGAGCATTTGTCACTCTTCTCCAATCCTGGCTATTTGGATCCTTGTGGAATGCCTTCAAACCATTTGCTCTCTTTGCTTGCCTATTTCTTTTTGGTATTTTATCCACCTTGCGTAGTTGTTCTCAGAGGGTGGGTTGGCCTGGTACCTTCTGCTGGGCTATAACTAGCAGCGTAAGCCTTGGAGCCCTGGCATTTGAAACCCCACACTGTCCAAGCCCAACTTACCCAGCCTTGCCTCTTCACAGCCACCTGTTTTGTCCACCCTGTGCTTAGCCTAGACTTTCCACACAACCTTTTCTTGCTACTCTCTCAGTTCTCCCCACCCATCAAAATTCGAATTGTTCTTCAGACCCATACAGTCTCCACTTCTGATTCCTGGCATTGTGACCCATGAGATTCTTCCTCTGCTGTAAACTCATAGCAATAACTGGCCGGCCACTGTAGCATTGATGTATCATATCATGTGCCCTGCATTTAGCTTTTATCCAGTTGGGTGAGGGTGGGGACGTTGTGGTGCACACCTTTGTACCTAGATTGATTTGCTGCATATCTTGCAGGTGAAAGCATGTATTGCCAATGTAGAACCCAACCAAATAGTGGAGGTCAATGAGCAAGAAGCATTGGAAGAGAAACTGGAAAACGTGAAAGCTGTTCTGCAGGCGTATCATTTTACAGGTTTCGTTTGTTTTTTTAACCTAATTTAGTCTGGGTCTGTCTCTAGTGAGTTTGCTGATGTGTTATCAGTCCTGGACTTACTTCATAATTTATAGTATTTTACACCCTCTGCCCTCATCTCTCTCTCTGTCTCACACACACACACACACACACACACACACACAGCTGACATGCTATTTGTAGGCCTATCTTCACCTACAAGATTGGCTTCTTTGTACAGCAGCTGAGTTGGTGGCTGGCTTATTCCATTCATTTTAACAGTTTGTCATGTGCCAGACCCTGTACTATAACTGCCTTTACTGCTGGCTTGTTTTATGCTGCTAGTGAAATAGTTTGAACTTCTCAAGTCTCTGTTTCACCATAAGTACGGATTTATTCTCCCGTCTATGCCACAAGATAATTGTGGGAAGAACTGGGGACTATGACAAATTATTTCACACTCAGAAAAAAAGAATAGCTATAAATTAAATTTTTGGCCTTGCACAGTGGCTCATGCCTGTAATCCCATCACTTTGGGAGGCTGAGGCAGGATTACTTAAGTCCAGGAGTTCGAGACCAGCCTGGGCAACATAGCAAGATCTCATTTCTACTAAAAATTAAAAAATGAGCCAGGTGAGGTAGCACGTGCTTGTGGTCCCAGCTATTCGGGAGGCCGAGATGGGAGGATTGCTTAAGCCCAGGAAGTTGAGATTGCAGTGAGCTGAGATCGTGCCATTGCTCTCCGGCCTAAAAAAAAAAAACCAGAAAAATTTCTCAATAATTTGACATTTAGGATGTTTTTTCATTTTTACCATTCTTCCATGGTTTGAACAACTCAGTCTCAAAGTGAGCCGGAGTCAAGGGGAAGAATGAGCCTATGATACTCATTCAGCAAACATTTGTTTACAAAGTATACATATTCTGGGCACTGTGGAAGCTACTGGAGGCACAGATGAGTAAGATGTCACCTTGGCCTGCTGTCTGTTGAGGTGTCTTCTCGTTTGCCTCAGGCCTCAGTGGTAAGCTGACCAGCCGAGGAGTTTGTGTCTGCATCAATACTGCTTTTGAGGGGAACCTATTGGATTCCTATTTTGTGGACCTTGTCATACAGAAACCACTCCGGATACATCACCATTCAGTTCCAGTCTTCATTCCTCTGGAAGAAATAGCTGCAAAATACTTACAGACCAACATCCAGCACTTCCTGTTCAGTCTTTGCGAGTACCTGAATGCTTACTCTGGGAGGAAGTACCAGGCAGACCGGCTTCAGGTATCTCTCTGGGATGTTATATGCCTCATTTGTGGGCCCAAGATAAAAGGGGCAAGGGGGGATGTTTTTTGTATTTTCAGTGTTTCCTAACTCTGCGTTAGCAGTTTGACCATTACCTTTCCGATGCTGCTTCTTTATATAAAAGCACTATCCCACCCTCTTTTCTTTTGAAACTCTGGATGGCTTTGAAGCTTGGGTACTGGTTAAAGGATTATGCACCCCTGAATGGTGGTCTTCAAGCTTTTATCATAAGATTGTACAGAGTGCAGTTGCTATACTTTTGATTCAACAAGGATTTATAGAGTGCCTGCTACGTACCGTACCAAGTGCCTTGCTGAACCTTGGGTATAGATCTCATTAGAAAGAGTAGGATTTCTGCAGTGCCATGGAAGAATGCTGTCCAACTTCCCCTAAACTCTAGCCTACCTTTTTGGGTTGCAGTGGAGCTAAGTTTGGGTGAAAAAAGTAGTTGGGAAATGAATGCAGATGGCTGTAAGTGACTCCTACGAGCTTAGCATTTCCCCCTCTATCTATTTGGAATCACCCTGCAGCTCTCAGTTGTAGGTTTAACTTAAATTGAAATGTGGATGCAGTCATGAAGCATCTTAGCCATGTAACGTCAGTGAAGTTTTTGCAGCAACAGTCTCTTGTGGAGCTGTACCCCTGGCCATTTAGGCCTGTAGGGCTTTGCAGGCTGCCACTGACTCTTAGTTATCTTACACATCTTTTTCATTAGTCCTTTTTTCAGAACTTTTTCTGTCCCTCATTTATTTCTCTGAAATGTAATTGATGGGCCTCTTTTTGGTTGACATAATTGAAGTATCAGTAAACACCACCTTTGGAACTGTAGTCATCCTGTACTTCGTTTTGTTCCTCGCCCCTCTTAGAGTGATTTTGCAGCCCTCCTGACTGGGCCCTTGCAGAGAAACCCACTGTGTAACTTGCTGTCATTTACTTACAAACTGGACCCAGGCGGTCAGTCCTTCCCGTTCTGTGCTAGATTGCTGTATAAGGATCTCACAGCAACTCTTCCCACTGACGTCACCGTGACATGTCAAGGTAAGAAGGGTGCCTTGGTGCAGCAATTCTCATATCCCAGTTTATTCGAGTGAAGCAGGGAAAACAGGTAGAATCCATGAAGTAGGCCTCTTGAGACACTTTCTCTTTTTATATATAAGCTATGTGTTATTCAGACTCCTAAGACAGAACATTTTTTTTTTTTTTTTTTTTTTTTGAGATGGAGTCTGGCTCTGTTGCCCAGGCTGGAGTGCAGTGGTGCAGTCTTGGCTTACTGCAAGCTCCACGTCCTGAGTTGACACCATTCTCCTGCCTCAGCCTCCTGAGTAGGTGGGACTACAGGCGCCCACCACCACGCCTGGCTAATTTTTTTGTATTTTTTAGTAGAGACGGGTTTTCACTGTGTTAACCAGGATGGTCTTGATATTCTGACCTCGTGATCTGCCTGCCTTGGCCTCCCAGAGTATTGGGATTACAGGCGTGAGCCACCGCACCCGGCCAGAACATTCTTGTTTCTACCAATCTTTTCCTTCCTCTTTGTAAATAGTAAACATGATTGTCCCCATTTTCCCTCCTCCTTTGCCCACCCACCTCTGCCAGTGTTCTTGCAGCCTATGATTGTTTTCATTGGGGGCCCTGCTTCAGGAAAGACACCTAATGATAAGGCTGAGTCATGGGTCAGTTATGGTGAATGGAGCCAGAAGACTCATTTCACTACGAAGACAAATGGACGTGACGTGTCAGCACACACTTACTCCTCCCTATGGAGCAGTCTCTTAAATGGAAATTCTTCCAGACTGGCTGAGAGACTTTTTGGTGAACCTGTTTCAGTTAAATGTGACATGGGCAATAATGAAAAATTGGGTACAATGTTTTTAGGAGGCAGAAATTTTGAAGCTGCCCCAGATTTCACACCATTGGTCTTTGATTTCTCTGGGCAGTCTGATTCAAGTCCCCAGTCTCTAGATTGCATCGGTCCAATAAGGGGCAGCCTCTCTCAGTGCGGACCCCCCCCCCCAAAAAAAAACTGTATGGGTCCAGTGGGTTTAGAATATCAGTGATCCAGGCTCCGATTCCCCCAGCTGCACTGAATGAGATTGGTGGAATCTTTCTTTTTAGGAGGGGAAGCATTATCCAGTTCATGGGAGGAGCAACGAGCATCTCATGAAACTCTGTTCTGTACGAAGCCCCTGCATCAAGTGTTTGCCTCATTTGCAAGAAGAGAAAAGTTGGATATGAGTCTGGTCTCCTAATAGATTGTTTTCACTGCACTGGGAACACCTCAGAGGTAAGTAACCAGTACTGAAGACAGTACCAGGCAGGTGGGGCCCACCCTTCTGATGAAAAGAGACACCTACCTTTTCATCTGGATAGAAGAGCAGGTTTGAGTATAGACACTGGCATTTTTGAACAGTTCCCATGATCTCCTGGTCACTTCTTAAAATGCTCAAGATCATGTGTTTTAAAGGTGTTAATTGATCATACATTTTAGTTGAAAATCATTTGTGGGGCAATAAAAGCCTTTTTTTTTTTTTTTTGAGACGGAATCTTGCTCTGTCACCCAGGCTGGAGTGCAGTGGCCGGATCTCAACTTACTACAAGCTCCGCCTCCCGGGTTTACGCCATTCTCCTGCCTCAGCCTCCCGAGTAGCTGGGACTACAGGCGCCCGCCACCACGCCCGGCTAGTT